CCACCTGTTTTTTTTTAATTATTTAATTATTTTTTGGAGGTTTGATTCTGGGCTGCGATCCTGTGTGTTTCGCTCAGATGCAAATCTCGGTTTCTCTGTCCACGTGGAAATTAGCTTGATGGGGGAATCGGTATAAAATTAAAATGTCTGACCAAGCAGACTCTGTGGGGCCCACCGTAAAAAGAGTTTCAAAAAGCACTTTAAATGCTCCGAATGTAATTTTTTTCTTGGAATTTGTATTCTGTATATATTCGTAGAAATTTATTTTTCGATAATGTAATTGGGAAGAAGAGGGTAGTGTGTGTAATTTATTATTCGATGGGACGCATCGTATTATTGTTTTTTCTTTTTTTTTTCTTTTTAATCTTTTAGAATTTTATCTAAAAAATATTGTGCTTTGAGATTTAAATTTAAGACTTTTTATTAGAGGAGGTAGAAATGTCGTCTAAATAAATGTCTTAATTTTTTTTTTCCTTGTCTTCAATCATTTACTCTAATTCAATTGATTAAATTTTGTTATACAATTCTAAATTTTGTTATACAATTCGATCTTACGTTAAAGTCAACATAGCTCATCAATAATTGATATGTGTCTCAAATTAAAAAGTTGTGAGTTTTATCTCTCATCTCCACCTATTAAAAAAACTCTATCTTATATTTTAATATTTTTTCTTCATAATTAAATAACATTTTTTCAGGTTAAAATATTATTTAGATTTACGTACTCTCAAAAGGTTTATTATGGTTTATATATTTTTATCTTTGGCTAATTTTAATCTATGAACTCTCAAAATGTTTCGTTTAAATCTGTGTACTTTTAGAAAAAAATGAGATTAAGAAATAAATTAAGGGACCAGAATTGCCACTTATTAAAAAATTTCTTGAGATGTAGCAAGTTTTTATATTAAAAGTTTGATCTGTTTTACCAATAAAGTCTATGATTCGAGTTCTTATAGCCCTATATTATTAATGATTAATGATTTTATTATTTCACAATAATAAAAAATTAAATATATATAATAATTTTCCTTTGCTCATTATTGTTTGTAACTATCCACTTGATTTGGTCCATCATTAATGTTTTGTCTTTATAGATGAACTACACATGAAAATTTTCTTATTTTCCCATACAAAATAAAGGAATAAGTAATTCGTTAGGTGTAGTAGGTGTAGAATGTATGTTAAAACTTTGCAGATAAGAACCAAAATAGTCACTTTTTTAAAAGTACAAATACCAAAACGAAGATTTTAAAAGTATAGGAATTAAAATGAACTAAAATTGAAAGTAAAAAGACTAAAATAAACATTTTGAAACACCGAAATGAACCAAAACTGTAAGTACATACATCAAAATATGATACATTTTATTTCTATACAATATAAGATGTTCGAGATTTGACTATTCAATGTATACAGATTCTTTTGTTAAAATAACAACAAACATAATACAAATTAGGAAAGCTTAAGGACAACTACATGTGAGATCTTCTTGGGCAATTCATTCTATACACACTCAAATTTTGTTTTTTCATTATGATAATTAATAGTCATGCTTAATTGACTATTAATTCTCATTATTTCATCAAGCCTAACACATAAATTTCTTCTATCTCCCACCTGTATGTTCATTTTTCATACGAGATTACTAATGCTTTTGAATTTATATTTAAGTTGGCTAATTATGTTATATTGAGTGAACTAAACTGATGCAATCATTTTTCTTTAATTTAGAATATTCACAAGATTTTGATAATACTTTCGAGGAACGAAAAACAATTATAATCACTCGTCATTCATAAATAAAAAATCTAATTCACCATCACTATAACTAAAGTTACCATACCCTATTTTAAATTTACTTGAATAATAATTATTTATGTCTATTCACTTTCGGTCAATTACTATATCATTCGATCTCGGGAAAGAGACTAAATATTGGTATACATGAAATTAGAATATCTATTTATAATTTCACTAATACTAAGCTAGTGTACTATTGTTTATTGACCAAAAAAATATATAAAAAAAAAAAGAAGAAGACAAATGAAATAACAACTACGGTTTAAATCCATTACAGAATAAACTAATATAATTTTTCTTTAATAATCATTCGGATTAGACTTTGATTGTAACGAAGCCAATCAAGCTATCAGAAAATTCCTGGAAATTTAGAACTTCATCAAAGATTTATATTTTATTGGGCGTTGATGATTCAACTCTTGATTCCTTGTCAACGAGAAAACGCCAGTTTTCTTATTAAATATAAATATTGACTAGTAATGGTTCACTTATAAAATTACTATATATATATATATATATATATTTATATATATGTTGCATGAATTTGGTTAGATCGAGACTTAACGTTGACCTGCAAAATAAAAAAGATTGAGCACCAGCGTGGTGCTAGCCACACACTCCAATACTTAAGTTAGTATTGAAGGTTGAAAGAATTATATGGGTTCAAGTATGGATTTTTTAGATGTAACATCGTGCAGGCCGAATGTGAGGAGAAAAGATTGTCTCCCTGTTACTGAACTTCATTGACTAGGCATGGGGCCCATCCTTCAGGCCACCGGCCGAGACCTGGTCGACCATTGAACTAGGTCGGTCGGGTGTCGGATCTTGGCTAGCCAGGCCCCGTGCTCCCCCTCGTCCGTCAGGCTTCTAAGTTTGGGTTTTCGTTCTTCTTTCTTCGAATTTGGGCCCCATCTGGAATTTCTCCCTTGCTCGCGGGCTTCCTTTCCCTTAAGTGGGTCTATAGCTTGCTTGTCGGGTTTAGTTTATTTCTCCTATAACATAAATAATGTGTGTGTGTTTTTATTATATATATATAGACTATTTTGGTTCATTTTAGCTTTAGTTTTGGACTATTTTGGTATATATAGACTATTTATGGTGTGTGTGTATATTTTAGTTTCCACCTTAGTTTATTTTGATTATATACTTTTAAAAACGTCTATTTTGGTACTTACACTCTCAACTTTTGTTTACATTTAAAAAGTTATCATTTTGGTCCCTTCATTTTAATTTTTTTCTTTTTTTAATCAAAATTTTAGCATGATGTTTCGCTCTAGATCAAATTCTTCAAATTTACCATAACTTTATATTACATGATTTTTATTGTGCATAAAATTTGTGTTGAAAATTCACAAATACATACATAAACCGTCACTTTCAAAAAAATATAGGAACAAAATATACATTTTGAAAGTACATGGACTATAGTGAAAAAAAACAAAAGTTAAAAAAGTACAATAATCAAAATAGACATTTTAAAAGTACAAACCCAAAAGGACCTAAAACTGAAAATTAATAATCCAAAATAATATTTAAACTTTATTATTATGTATCCGAATTGTATAACTTATATCCAATTAAATTTCACAGAACAGTGTCTAGATTTTAGAAGTTGACCCAAGAATTGTTGATAAATAATTGTTTAAGAGAAGACAACTTTTAATTTGATCGAAGAGATGATGATAAATAACTCGCTTAAATAAATAACAAATAGAACAAATTCTAGTTGGAAAAAGAAGAAAGAAAAAAAAAAAGATTACAAACTCGAGAATAAAGTCTAACAAATAAAAAATTATTATTCTTTCAAAAATCAACTATCCTCGATTCTTTATTATGCAGATCAAAGAAGATTAGAAAAAAAAAGTACGACGGAAGAAAATCAGGAGAAAGAACGAGAATCAGAATATAAATAGGAGAAATTTAATTACATCACGTTAAGTATTATTTCTTACATTATATATATATATTCGACCTTTTGACCTCCATGGATGCGGGCATTGAGGTAAATTTTCTTAAATGTCCTTGACATCTCACTAATTTACTAATTCTTTTGAACTAGTGTTAAATAAACAAAACGCCTAATTCTACCATTAGAATTTAATAACCTACCTTTGCCCTCGAACACAGCTCAATTAGTTACGGCATCTATCTTCAATCAAAAGACTATGAATTCAAATCTCTAACTTTACATGTTGTAATTAAATTTAATTTAATTTTTCTAATTTGCTATTCGCACCTTCACTAATGTTTAATAGTGAGAGAGTTGCTTCATAGGATAGATGATATAAAAAACACACGAGAAAGAAGAAATGAAAAGTTTTGGGAACGACATATTTTTAAGTTTTAGCACTTATGTTCGGATAAAAATACAAGAGAAGATATCAGTTTTTATCCGAAATTTTGCAAAGTGTATCAATATTTACTCTAGACTTTTAATTTCATCCAATCGCCCCCTTAAAGTTTGATAAATCTTCTTTTTCATCTGAAGAACCATTAAAAAAATTATTCTCATGTGCATCTAATGAATTATAAAACATATACTTGATATGAAATTAATCGAATCGAGACAAAAACAACACTAGAACTGTTTTTTTTTTGTTGAAATTTTCAAGTTTGGTCGAACTTATTTAATAGTTGATTTTTATGCATTAATCAAACTTAATTTTATGTGATTTTCATTTTCTGAAATTCTTGTTGCTTTATTTTTTAAATTAGAAATAATTGGCAAATTAACATAAATGGAATAAAACGTAAAAATTCTAACCCTCACCTAACTATCAAGGTAATAGTAAATTCACTTAAACGTTTTAAGATTGACACCATTCGAATTAAAATGATTATAAAAAATATATATATGTCATTCAAATTAAATTCATAATTATTTTGAATTTTAAATTAAACAAGGGTACAAATGTCAATATCTTGCCCCGCACGCATGATCAACCCAACAGCGGGCCCAGCCCAACAGAAAATAGTCTACTGCTCATTTTGTGTCGACGGCCCAATAATTGAACCATGGGCTTATAACAACTTGGTCCTCACGCAAAAGCATATTTTCAACAAATTCTCATTGTTTATTCATTTTTCTATGATAAGCTTTGGCTTTTGAAGATCAGAAGTTTGACCAGCTGGTAATATAAAATCCAGCTCAAGTGATGTAATAACAGAGTTCTATCTGAGATTAAGGCCTTGTTTGGTTTTGTGAAGGAAAAAAAAATATATGGAGTTTTTCGTTTTCTATGCATTGTCACTCTGTTTGGTTGTTTATGGAGTGGCAAAAGCTTTCCATTCCATTTGGTGGAGACCCAAATTGGTGGAGAGACAGTTGAAAAGGCAAGGAATTAGAGGGAGTGCCTACAAGCCTTGGGTTGGGGATGCCAAAGAGTATGTGAGGATGATCACTGAAGCCTGGGCCAACCCCATGAGTCTAGACCATCAGATTGTTCAACGGGTAGATCCGTTCACGGTGGTGAATGCCCAAAAATATGGTGCATCGTGTTCTATTGTGTTGTTATCTTGTTTGATATTGTTCTCGAGTCTTATTTTTGTGATTTGTGTGTAGGGAAAGTGTCGGTGTGCTGGTTCGGGACGAGTCCAAGGTTGACTGTGAAGGACCCGGAAATGATGAAAGAAATACTATCAAACAAGGTGGGTAGCTTTGAGAAGCCGCCATTGAGCCCAGTTATACTGAAGTTGACAAAGGGACTGACTACTCTCAAAGGGGAGGAGTGGGCTAAACATAGGAGGATTATCAATCCTGCTTTCCATCTAGAAAGGCTCAAGGTTTGAGTTTAACTCTACTCAGTTTTACTTGAAATAAGAGTTATGATCTAAGCTCAAGACTTTGTTTGTGAAATTGTTTCGAAAACAGGAGAAAAAGCGAGAAAGAAATAGATGTAGAAATATAAACCATTTCCAAAATAAAGGGGACTTAACAGGAACAAGAGGGGTCAACTGAACAAGATCCTTCCCCTTCCCATCTTTCAAAAGAAAAGATTCAGCCAAAATCAATTAAACGGAAGAAATCCAAGCGAACGGAAAAGAAGAAACAAAGGATGAATTCCACTTTAAGCACTATATATTTATTTATATATTTATTTGTGTTCATGGTTTGTTCTTTGAAGTTTTTTATTTTTTGTCTAATTCTGGTTAAATTTTAAATATCATTCTGAGCCTAAACTATGGTGTTTAAATTTTAAGACTGTTGTACGTTTGGGTGTTAAAGGGAATGATGCCAGCATTTAGTATAAGTTGTGGCAACATGATAAAGCAGTGGAAGCAGATGGGTACAGATCAAGACAGAGTAGAAGTGGATGTGTGGCCTGAACTTCAAAGACTAACGGCAGATGTTATATCTCGGGCTGCTTTTGGCTCCAACTTTGAAGAAGGGAAGAAGATTTTTGAACATTTGAAACGGCTCACTCTTCTTACTCTAGAAGCCATGCAAACCATGTATCTTCCTGGTTTCAGGTCCCACTTCTCTGTTTCATAAATTTCGTTTGTCTTCCCACCTATTCGTTTCCAAATGAATATTGTTTTCACTCGACTTAGATTGTTAGTCCTTAAACTTTCAGAATGGTGTCTAACAAGTCATTGATTTATTAGACCGTTTTTAAATTTTAAAGACTTATGGACACAAAAGAGCATAAATCTAAAACTAAAATTATTCCGAAATCAAACCTAGAGATTGAATAGTGTCTGTGTATTGGCAGATTTGTTCCAACAGTCAAGAACAGGAAGAGAGATAAGCTGAACAAGGAGATCAAAACTATGATAGGGAATTTAATTATAAGAAAAGAGGATTCCATGAGAACACAGGAAGACAATGTTGAAGACTTGTTGTGCCTGCTATTGCAGTCAAAGAAGAAAGAAAATCAACATGGAGGTCATGATGGACTGACAATTGATGAAGTGATGGAGGAGTGCAAGCAATTCTACCTAGCAGGGCAGGAGACAACAGCAAGCTGGCTTACATGGACAGTCATAGTTTTGGCCATGCACTCAGAATGGCAAGAAAAGGCTAGGCAGGAAGTCTTGCAAGTTTGTGGAAAGAAAGAACCAAATTTTGAATCTTTGAGCCACCTCAAAATTGTGAGTTTTCCTTACACATTCAGCAATCTTCTATATATCTATTGGTGTAAGTTCTTTCATGACATTCAATCACATAAAAATAGCAAAATGAAGAATTGAGAACAGTTGAAGTCATTTTCTGGTTGGTCAATATCCAAATCCTTTCTAAGTGGATATATTATTGGCAACCCTTATTCATCTATATATTTTGAAAACATCTATAAAGAAAAACAATATTGATTTACTAAACAATGTTCTGCAGGTTACTATGATACTTTATGAGGTCCTGAGGTTGTACCCACCAGTTATTGGTCAATATCAACATACTTATGCAGAAACTAAGATAGGTGAACTTTTAATACCAGCTGGGGTTGATGTTACCTTACCTACACTGCTCATTCACCATGATCCCGAGTACTGGGGAGACGATGCAGACCAGTTCAAACCAGAGAGATTTTCTGCAGGAGTTTCAAAGGCAAGCAAAGATCAGTTGGCATTCTTTCCCTTTGGCTGGGGACCAAGGACCTGCATTGGACAAAACTTTGCTATGTTAGAGGCTAAGGTTGCATTGGCTATGATTCTACAGAATTTCTCTTTTGAGCTTTCTCCCTCTTATGCACATGCTCCCTATACTGTCATGACTCTTCAACCACAACATGGGGCACAGCTGACCCTTCACCAACTATAGGCTGCAAATGGACTACCACTACCACCACCTTTGAGAGAGAGAAAATGTTTGACATTTCACAATCAGAAGTGCTTTTACAAAGAAATAATGAGCATTTATTTTTTCTTGAGATATCTTTCAAATTACCTAGTCTTGTACTGTACTTGTTCCCCTGTAGGAACAGATGAGAATCTATCAGTAAAATGATTTCATGAAAGTGCCATTTTTAACCAATAATCGTGCAAAGTGAGAAAATATTTAGTTGCCACAATTAATCATCTAATGTTTGAAAGCAACACCTATGTTAACAAATTAAGAATGCCTTTTAGAGTACCTCTGCCTCTTTCTCTCTTCTCTACCTGAAACAAACCAAGGGCTTGACATTATTTCTAGTTGACAAGGGCGGAGCAAAGAAGGAACGAGAGAGGTAATTGCCCCTCGTTTGTAGCAACTCAAAAATTATATATATAATATTCAAGATTGTAGTTTCCTCTAGTTTACCCCTTAAATCTTTAGAAATAAAAGATCATACATATAAGATGTTACGATGCAAAATTTTGTCCCTCCAAAATTTTTGGCTCCACCCCAAACAAACAGAGAGGGTGAGGTAAGTTGACTTCCAAACAAATAGAAAGATAAGAATGCAAAACCAATTTTCTGTGGATCCCACTAAAATCAGGTTACATGTGCAATATATTGACACTGAATGCTTGCTAAGATATCAAATGGCATATTACGCTCAAGAAATATAACCAAAATAAGCAAAAGGGAGAATTAACAAGAGACTTCAGTAGAGTGTTATTTATTTCTCGTCAAATTGTAATTAATGTAATATAATTTATCTAATTGATCACACGTTTCATAATTTAAAAAATCTAGGCACTCAGGCTGAACAAGAGGGGAAAAAGTCACTCTTCTGTTTTTCCTGGACCAGTGCTTCTCTTTCTGCTGCTATCTTTTATTGTTATATCCTCTCATGGTTGTAATAAAAAATATCATTCCCGCCAATTTTCCTTCCTTGATGTCTATGAAAAAAATCCTGTCTTGTGAGAAAATAATCATAAATCCTCGATATCCTTTAACATCGAGTCCACATCTGGAGTTAAAATGGCACGCTTGCTAAGCTCCCCAACAATGCAGCAATGCTTCCCTTCCACATTGATAGCTGCAACGTCTTGTGCAAAGCCACAATCCATTCCAGAAGAAACCTGCCCGTATTTTAAAACTGATGTGAGAAGGAACGCAAAATCCCAAAAGATTATGTCCAAAAATATCCCCTCAATTGATAAGGACTTGCAATAACACGTCCTGCTGTTTTATCAATGAAGTGAAGTCGAGAAAGCTGAGGAAGAGATTCCATGTTTCTAATATTTCATTTCAGGAGATCTATCTTGTTGATAAATAAGTAGATAACGAGGAACTTGGCATAAAAGTACTCACGTCATATACAATATCGCCTAGCTTCAACTTGACAGCACCACTCCTGTATACAAGCAATTTACCCATGGAGCCAGAAGGTAACTCATTCAGAGAGCAGAAGTTCTGACGAGTTCGTGAACCCTTACTTTGTTCTGAGCTGCTGGCTGCCACCATGCCTTCTACGGTAGAAGATTGCTTTGTCACTGGCACCATAGGTGGTATTTGTAGAAAAAAGACATTTGTTTCTGGATTCTCCTCCTGCGAATCAATCATTAAGCGTAAAATCGGAAATAAGAGGCTCACGCTATGATATCCACATAAATCTAATGACTAACCAATAGACCAAGATCCATTGCTGGAGTTGTCATACTTTCATCGTAGGTTCTGTTTTCTGAAGCCTCTCCAAATTCTTCCTCGTTAAGAGAATCTTTGAAGTAATGCATAAATTAGAGAAGACAATTGAATCAAAAGATGCGAGTACATTTTTCATGGTTCACCATGAAAACTGTACTCCAGAAGTCATATGAAGTATGCGAACCACACACACAGAAAATAAAGTGCATTTAAGGATAATCCAGTTGTCCATTGCAGTATTTTCCTTTTAGTTTTTGTAAATAAGACGCGCTTATAGAGATACCTGGATCTCCTGAATATGGTCTCCTCAAAGGAAGAGTTACAGGATAATAACTGTAATAATCCTGCAGTAAAATGATACTTGAATTACTAAATTGACATACTAAAGGAGAAGGCAGATGCAAATAGGAATAATAAGGAAAAACGATTGAGGATTTGAATGTTACTGACCCATGGTTCTACATACTCCTTGCTTATACTAGACGGAAGAGTTCCATCTGCACAGTCACCTTTCAGTTTAGTGCATTGGAAGCATCTCATGTGCAGTAAATCAAGCAATTACATCTTGAGTAGAATAGATTTAAGTAGTTTAGTGGCCAACCTTCATTTCTGGGTCTATTTCCAGCTTTTGGAATACCATATGATCTTATGGTTGCTGATGTACCTCCAGAACCAAATGCAACTTGTGTAGGTGCGGCTGCATATTTAAATAACAGATGTAAATGAAACGGGGACATGTGAAAGGAACTCATAAATATCTTTATTCATTGTGCATGAAGATTTAAATTGTATGTAGGGTTCAGAAACTGACAGAAGTTCACTCCATTTCCCTGATATGCTAGGTAGTACCGATTGGGGTAAAACCAGATGATACAGAATTAATATGTTGAACCATATCATCATAACTCCACAGATCAATCTACAACCTCATTACGTCATATGTATAGAAATCTTAATATGTGGTCTTTTTTTGGCTTCACAGGGTTCCTAACATAGAACAGATTTGCTCCCCGCATATGACTCTAATGTCGAGAAAAGTAAAGCATAACATATTTTCCCTCAGTTTTTCATGATTTGAGAATTGCCCTCAAAGTCTTCTTAATACATTTATGTGATCTTATAGATCTCTATTCTTAATAAGAATCCTATTATAAAATTACCTAAGATATTTAGATCTATAGACATAATTCTAATCACACACATACAAATAGATAAATACATAGTTACACATAAACTGGTATACTGAACCTAATAACAAATTTGTATATCATGAGTAATCAGTGGAAAAGGAAATAAAAGATTTAGTAGCCAACTACGACCATAAAATGATTAAAAGAAGCATGACCAGGAATTAGCATAGCATACAAATATAAACTTTCAGATTCGATCTAAAACAGTCATGTTTATTTAATAATATCTACTAAATAAATAAAATCATGAAGCTCGAGACCAGAACAAAAATTAATCGTAAACACGACTAGTTTATGGGACTGGCCTTTCTTCCCAACTTTCTGCTTTGCCCTCATGGTACTTTCCTGCAATAAGAAGTCAAGAAATTAAAGTGACAAAAAGAGAGCAAGAATATATTAAACTAGATATTCTATATGCTGAAGAATGTAGGCAACAGAAAATAAAAGAAAGCAGACATACATTGAAGCGCTTTAGTAAATCCTTGGCTTGAGCAGCATCAGCTTCCTCTGTTATTTCTCTACATAAAACAAACATAAATTTTGACTGCAACACAGATTCTGAACTATTGGAGGTGCTACTAAATTTGAAAGTGATGTGCTTACGCTTTGACTTCAGGTTTTGGCATTCGACGAGGAGGTGCTTTTGGAGCAAATTTCATCTGCAGCAGGCAATTCCATCAGAGCAAAACAAAAAAACTCTTCAAAAAAATAGACAAGACGGGAAAGCCAAAAAGGACCTTCCGTTGAGCAGTTGTATTGTTCTTGGGCGGATCTTGCTCCATGACTATCAATTGTTGAACCTTCGTCTAGATCTGAGAAGACAAAATAATGACCAGTGACTAATTATACATGCACAAATCCTACCGTGTCCTGCTCTTAAAATAGCTTATTCAGTCTAGTCATATTGCATTGTGAACCCAACTTAGATAACACAACGATTAGGATAACATCGTTCGTAAGGAAGATGAAGGTCGTTGTATTATTGCCAAATGCCACGTGATATATAATGCATGAACTTTCACTACTTCAGTTGTGCACCTTTAAGTGAAAGAAGTTTACATTTAAGCAATGTTTTAAAAGGCTTTTGAGGCTTACACCTTGAGGCCCGCCTCGAGGCAAGGCTCTAACTTTTAGCCTCAAGTCTTACGCCTTCTTTGGACTATAAGAGGCTTATGCCTCGCATAGAAGAGGCTTACGCCTCTTTGAAAACGCACTGAGGCTTAAAGTATACGYCTCGTGTAATGATTACAAKAATACTATTAATTTTTCCAATTCCTAAAAAATATCAAGGTTTTTTTTGTATGGAATCCTAAGCAGGAGTTGTAACAATTCAATCTATTACTACTTTTACTACCTAGACTTTAAAAATATTGAAAGACAACAATTTATAGAATAAGTAAGTTCTATTGGTGATAATAGTAGTGATGTTATGATGTTTTTTTAGAATTTTTTTTGAGTGACAAGTAACAAGTGGATATTTTGATAATTTTATATAACTATTATGTTTGGTAATACTTGACCACACAAATTTAGGATATGTTTAATTCTTTTAATTAAAATTGAGGCTTACGCCTCGTACCGCCTTGAGGCTTACGCCTCGCCTTTTCAAGAGAAAAAGCCTCGAGGCCGCCTCTAGCCTTTTAAAACATTGCATTTAAGGAACAATTCGCTTCGAGCATACTTGGTAAAACATTCCTAAACCATATTTTTGAGCTATAAATTAAAATTCACTACATAAAAGCCATTTGAATAGTGGCCACGCATAAAAGATCATCCACAAAAGTCTGCTATTTGCAACTTCAATCAATAAAAATATGAGGAGCACAAACAGGTTTTTTTCCCTTCTTAAATCAAGATTTAGAATGTTGAACCCGAAAGGCGTCTAGTTGAATTGACAACAATTGATTTCGATTAAATACAAGGACATTCTCATAATCCAGGTTACTCGAAGGTTTCAAAAGAATCAACGAGAGTTGCACAATATCCCATTCTGACTATGGAATATGACACTCCATTGGAGAGGGAAAAAAAATACCATATTGTTGGCCTTACTAACTTGGACGGAGCAAATGCAGGCAACGCAATTTGGTAAAAGTGGAGATTAAATCACAAAGTAGAGGCCAGAGTCATGGAAAATTTAATATGCATACAGGACTTAGCAGCGCAATCCTGAATGAAAGCGATCCCGAATAGCAGAGCAGTAGCGAGCGATATATTGAATCGGCCGATGAACTTGACGATAGTGAGAAAAATGCTCGTTTACAGCATGATGTGATACAGTCACAGAGATGCTGCGATAGGAACGATGAAGAAAGAAGAAGAGTTTGAGAAGAAAAAAAATGGCGGCAGAAGGTTTTGCCTGTTCTGATAGTGAATGAGACGCAGCGCAACTGCAATTTTACGTGATGGAGGTGGCCGCTTACGAAATTAATAACCGGTATACATTAGTGTTACAAAACCTAGGGATTTTATATTGCTAATTTTAAAATTGGGAGAAAATTGCACAAACCACCTTTAATAGGGATTTTCTTTTAATAATGTTTTTTCAGTACAAGCGGGTGGGTTCGGCTTCTTAATTAATAATGTTTTATTTTAAATTTATTTCAAAAAATATATCATTATGTACCAAACTATTTTCAAGAATGTTAGCTTGAAAAATTTGAAGTGACCTCAGACACTTCATGCTTCTTTAGTGGCGTATTGTGTGTTTTTTTTTTTCGCAAATAAAGATATATATCAAAATTATACATAATTATTGCTTTGCTACTGCCGCTGTACATCTACTTTTTAATTTCTAAATCTTGGTTGAAATTTCTATTATATCACTTCTTATTTTATTTTGTATTCAGAATGTTATGTTTGAATTATTTTATTTCTTTTAACAAATTTAATTAAATTAATTTTGTAAGTTTCTATTATATCACTTCTTATTTTATTTTTTATTCAATAGAATGTTATATTTGAATTATTTTACTTTTTAACATATTTAAATAAATTAAATTTGTGTTCAATTTTGACACATGTCATCTCTTACCATAATTAAAAAAAAATGGTACCTTGTAAGTGGGAAAGTGTGAAACATGCACACGCACGCGCACATGCACACGTACACGCACACTCACACGGAATCTCAGATTCCCACAAAACAAACGATCGGTCCCTAAATAGTTGTTGTAATTGTACCCAAAATTTTATATGATATCAATAAAACCCTGAAACTTTCCTAAACGAACAAATTTACATCCTCAACTTGTAATAATACAGGTTAAAACAAATTGATGGTACAACATCAAGAAAATATAATTCCTCAAAAAAAAAAAGAAAACATCAAGAAAATAGAAGCAACAGGAAGCGATGGCTTTGTAACTGATGATGTACGGATAAGTTATTTTGAGTGGAACGAGTGGAATTTTGTACATAGATCCAATTTCTTAAATTTGAGAGTTTAATTTTTAATTTTTAAATTTTCTCAATTATAAAAAAAAAAGTTTAGTTTTTACTATTACAAGTTGAGATATATTTTTTAAACTTTTAAATTTTTACAATTGAATAGACGTAACTGACTATAGAAGGAAGGAAAAAAAAAAGGTGTACATGGAGTATCCAAATTAGTTTGGATAAGACATTGACTAATGTCACAAACAACCATCTAACCTACTATATTTAGCCACTAACAAAAATCACACTATATTAAACTAATTATAGGTTGGTGGACACTATAGTTTTAATTAATCATCTCTAAAATTTTAAGAAATATTATTTTAAATCCATTGTTATAAATACATGCATTCAATAATTAAAAGAAAAGACAGAGGACCTGTACAATATAGGGGTGCAATTTTTGTTGGAAATAACGAGCTTAAGAAACTATTAATCATAACTTATATTGACTTTTTTTTTGTTTGATGAAAAGCTACGTTGAATCGGATGAAAGTGAAAGTCAACAGTACAAAATTGACTGCAATTTAAAAATAATAAGACAACAAAGAAAAGTATGTCATATTGTATTATTATTTGTTATATCGGTCAATGTTCGGAACAACTTACATGCACTTTGATTAATTTTATCGGACAACCACCTGTCCCTATCATACTTGATGACGGAAAACACATAGGAATTACCAATTCCTAAAGTCAGTGACTATGATATGTAAAATAAAAAAGAGTGAATGATAATTAGAGATTTAGTATTTTCACGTATACCTCCTCCTCATACTTGAAAAAAAAATATTCAAGTAGGGAAATAAATAAATCCAAACACACTTAAAAAAAAACATAATTATGTTTTATTTGAATCAAATAAAAAGTTGTAACATTTTAAAAAATACATATCAAATTTACGTGATGAATTGAAAAGAAAATAAATTAAATCCCCATATTCCCTACTAAAAAAAATGAAA